TTGCTAGGGACTTGCCCGGCACTTGCTCTCTACCTCTATTTGTTATCTTACTTCTATCATTGACAGTCCCTCTAGGTTGTGGGCTGCTTGCCTGTGTTCCTGAGAAGCATCTACGGTACCAGTCTATAGAGTGTGTTTTCTTTAGTGAATTACCGGTATGTTTACCGGTAATAAACTTGCACTGTTTTATGTATATGTTTGATTACATACAGCCTTGTGACAGTTTTCCTGCATGTCATAAGCATTTGAATATAAATTAAAATGTTAAAATCAAATCTGATATTGTTTTACCTTTTATTTGGTGTGTGGAAGGTGTGCGGAAGAGGGGGTAGTCTTATACGGCGAGTATATAACAAACTCTGTATTTTGAGTGGAAATGTTAGGGGGTCGTCTTATACGCCCAGTCGTCTTATACGCCGGCAAATACAGTATATACTTTTGTTTTAGTTGAGCATCTATATTTTAAAAATTAAAAATATTAGAAGCTTAAATATTATCATAGGCTATATTATAATCATAAGCTGAGTTATTATAGTGTAATAGATATATCAGAGCATTTCTGGATTATTGTCAGTTCTTAATCAGGTACTGATTGCCATGACTTTCCATATACTCGATGAGATAAAATCATTCATTCTACAAATATTCGACAGTGCCAAGCATTGTCCTAACTACAGTACTGGCAATACAGCAGTGAACAATGTAAAGACAGAAAACAAATCAAGTAAAATATAGTGTATCATATGACAATAAGTCACATGGGGAAAAATAAAACTAAGTAAAAAGGGCAGAGACTGCTGTGGGGGAGGAGTTGCTGTGTTTTCTATAGGTTGCTCAGGGAAAGCCTTTCTAAGAATGGCATCTTGCCCTAGCTGGTTTGGCTCAGTGGATAGAGTGTCGCCCTGTGGACTGAAGGGTCCCAGGTTCAATTCCGATCAAGGGCACATGCCCAGGTTGCTGACTTGTTCCCCAATTGAGGGTGTGCAGGAGACAGCTGATCAATGATTCTCTCATCATTGATGTTCTGTCTCTCTCTCCCTCTTCCTTCCTCTCTGAAATCAATAAAAATATGTTATTAAAAAAACTTTAGAATGGCATCCTTAGAAGGTAAGGGAGCAAACTAGATGGCTCTATGGGGGACAATAAATGCATAGGCCTTAAGGCTAGAACATTCCTGTCTTATTCACAAAACAGCAAGAAGGCCAGTGTAGCTGCTGCAGAGTGAGGGAGAGAGTTATAGGAGTAAGATTAGAGAAGTAGCAGAGGATCAGCTCATAGAAGTTGATTTTAAAATTGTATCTCTGTATGGAGACTAAAGTATCCAGGATCCAGGGAAACAGGAAACTATACCAAGGAAGTTCACCTGTAGGTCAATTTATAAATTAGGAAAGAGAAGTCCAAGTGAAAATGTGTATGGATACTGGTCCAGTGCTAAATCTAACTTATTATCTCTTTAAGAGTATTTCTGAAGCTTTTCAGTTATTATAGGATATGCATAGGATAATAACTGTTCAGTACATTGTTTTGTTCTTTTAAGAAAGTATTTAGGTTGTCCATAATCTTAGCCAAAACCCCACATTAGCCCCATTTAAGCTACTTAGAATTAGATCCTTATTCTTTAGACTAATTGGTGTTTTACTTAACTATCTATATATATAAAAGGTCAGTATCCTAAGTGTCCAACCATCCGGGTAATGACATCACGTAGCAATGCCTGGCTTCACCTGGCTTCCTCTCCCTGGCAACTAGCCTCCTTGGAGTTTCTTCAGTCCAGGAACACAACTTGCTTTATAGCCAAGTGAAAACATTTCACACTGTAACCAAATGTCTGTGAAGCATTTTCACATGCTTCATCTTATTTGATCCTCACAGTAGTCCTGGAGTAGGTAGATAGGAGACTTGGTG